AAATTCCAGTGAAATATATTTATGTTTGTGGTTGTAATGTGACAAAATATGGAAAAGTTCAAGGGGTATGAATACTTTTGCAAACCACTGTATATAGCACCACATCCTTAAATGTGTGCTTACAGTAATGAAGTCAGCATTGCAGAACAGTAGGGGACGTAATTTTTTTTTCATTCCACTATAGGTCCCCAAGCCAGCTATCTGTCATCCCTACATCACACATACTGACAATTTCTGTTCTGTGACTACCTCTGACTACCTCTCCTGCTATAGCTCAAAGGTGCAACAGCAGTAGGTTGACTTCAGTTCCTGACCACCTTTGGTTTTTCACAAATCACACTCAGGTTTGGCTTGAAGGGGTTTTTGAAAAAGCGKTTTAAGACTACACTTCAACAAGATGCTGGATCTTGCTGTTGTAGTTTGAGACCATCTTTTTCTAATGGACTATGTTGATTCCAATGGGAACCTGCATGGAGTCTTCACACTGCAGCACACATTATATTTAATCAGAGACATCCCAGACTGAAGTGGATTTTAATTTTCAGTTGACGATAAGAGTTGGAGGAGAAAGATCGGATATTTCTGTTAACTAAGGAGAAGCGTAATTTTGTAAATTTGTCACTAAGACGCCACCGTTGACAGCAGATAGTTTAGGAACGTGTCCACGCTGTCCGGCCGAGGCGCTCTACCCCTTGGTCAACACAGCCACGGAGAGAGAGCCACGCCTTTCTGACGTTTGCATGCACAAATCTGTCCAATCTCTATCCATGAGTTGTTTTGTGATCTTTATAATTTGTTGTTGTTTTTTACTTTATCATTTTCACTGGAACAGTTGTTCCTGTATTTTCTCACAGACTCTGCCCACAGCAGCAGATGCTGCTCAGAGATAAACTCACTGCAGCTACTTTACAGAAGCAAACTGCGGGCAGCGCACAACACGGGGTCTCAGCACGTTAGAAGTGTAGAAAACTATACATTTTACATCTTTCACCCACATAGACGAGACACAAGGATGGTCCTTAATAAGTCAGGCTTTAAGGTATATATATATATATATATATATACAGTATATATATAAAGGCGGTGGTCCTACTTTAGCTCCCTTTTTTAATATTTCACATGACACTGATGCAGAAAGAAGTCATCCCAGGCCTGACTTGAAAGTGCTGTGTGAAAGGTGCCAGTGTCATTGGCAACAGAGGCAATTACAACAAATTGTAATCTCAGCATTTACCCACAAACTAAACTTAAAACTGCTGACGATGAGATTGGCCTCACTGCAAATTTAAGAGTAACTTTCATTCTCTCACATCTTACATTGATCGCCACCAACTCCTCAATTCTCTGCAAGGGTCACTCCAGCAGCAACGTTAGCTGACCATGAATACTGTTTAAAAATAATAATAAAAACATTTTTGGTCATGCAAAATGTAACACTCTAATTAAGAAGTGAGCTAAAGACCTTTTTTTTGTAAGAGGGAAAATGTTGAAAGCAGCAATCCTATAAACAAATCAGCATAAAAATTGTAAGGAGGGAATGTGTTTTAACAATTAACAAATCATCCATTTATGAAAAGCAAAAATAGTTGTTACTGTTGTAAAGGCAGCAGTCTTTGACACAATTTTCTTTGCACATATCCTCTAWCACTGGTGGCATTACTCGTTAAGATAAGAAGCATTTTCAGCTGGGAGAGTAATTCTGCCAATCAACCCAACCAGATCAATCCTGGGTGCTGTTACGCAACAAAGACCGTTTAGGTGAAAATCCACGTGGCCAAATGTTGACATCCAGTCCCTTTTTKCTGCCTGCAGGAAAGAAGAAGAAAACTAAGTGACTAATAATTAACTTGAGCACTGAAATAATACACTCAACATTCTTCTTCTCTCTTTCTCTTTGTCTCTGCAGGTAAGAGAATCATCCTTTGCCCCCAAAAAATCCTTTCTGATGTGCCGTGTAAGTAAATACATCACAATTTTATGGGCTTTTTTTAAGTGTTATTTCTTGCTACAGCTTGATGTTACTTCTCTGTGTGTATGTGTGTGTATATGTGTGGTTGGGTCTGTGTGTGTGTGAGAGAGGGAGAGAGGGAGAGAGAGAGAGAGAGAGACAGAGAGAGAGAGAGAGAGAGATCCCCGGGCTACCTATTGTTGTGACAGGTTCTTCACTTGAGCAGCATTACAAGATAATGTGCAAATTGTAATCTGGGAGCTCCCGTTCCTTAGCCTGTGTCGTGTTAATAACGCCGCCCGTCAGTCAAAACCTGGCTGCAGATTGCAGATGCAAGCCGATGCTATCTTTTTCTCCTCATTCTACAATGCACGCACCACAAAAGACACCACTCAACGTCGGCAGTTTGGCGTCAGGAGAAGGAATCTTAGTTGTGAGATAACAAAGACTTAACCTGTATTGGCTTTCTCCTTTTCATAATCCCTGAACTTGTTCAAATGGGAGCTTTTTACATAGTTGGAATGCTGACATAAATAAATGAGTGACTGTCGTTGTGCATTTCAAAAATGAGCCATATTTAGGATTTTAAGAGACTGTAATTTTGAGGCTGGCGCTTCAAACTCATGTGGTGTCATGAAGGGTATCCAATGTAAGACTATTGCCAAATCCTCTTCACATGTTCATGCCGTTGACTTTAAGGCTCTAGTGTTTGCTAAAAGTCAAAACTGAAAATACAGAAGAAAAAAAAGTTTGTTGGAGTGAATGTGTGTAGTAAAGACTACTCGGAACCACAGACTGGCAAGGACAGAAACATAAGCTGCGTTTCCATTGACCATAAAAATGCACAAATTASAATTTCAAAAATAAATTTGCTTAATGGAAACAAGTCCATTTCAAAAAAACGTGTGTTTTTGACAAAATGGTTTTCTGCTAGGATATAGTGGTTTTTCAGCCATATCGAAACTGGTGGATAACACAAAACTGCAATGGAAACACCTTTTTTGTATCACGAAAGTCACGTGATCAACAACTGGATGTTTCTACTGGCAGAAAAGGTGACAAATGACAGAGCAGGGGCACGTGACAAGGGACTAAGATAAGAGCGCTTACTCTAACATTGTGGGGAAGTTGTAGACATCCTTATCAGAGTGAACAGCCGACATTAGGGTTGGTTGAGATCAGCAACGCTTTAAAGCAAGGTTTCCCAACCACCTGACCAAAGACTAATACTGGTCCATAGTTCATTTGGGACCAGGGTACACAGAAATAATTCAATAATATTTATTRCAAAACAGAATTTATATCAAGTTTTATAGTCATTTGTCTGCATTTATTTTTTGAAATGACCAGTTTTGTTCACTTCTCTTTTTCTACACTTGACCTCCCAGTTAATTATGTACCAGGAAACCTACAAGCTAACCCTGGCACACTTACAAGCTAACAACCTTACAGTCCAGCCCTATAAAGTGAGTTAAAATAACTATTAGGGATCTTCTTTTCCTCCACTCATCTGTGGGAAAGATATTCTGTATAATACCTGTTTATAGCGCAAAAATATCGGATCACTGCTTTAAAGAGTTTGACAAAGGATAAGAAAAATCCGTGTTGCAATTACCCTCATTGGCAATGAMCATTTGAACCAATTATGGAGTTTAATTTGAAAAAAAGTTTACAATTATATAGTGGTAATCAGTTCATGCAGTGAAATATCTTAGAATTTAAATCAAAAGTTTCCCAAAGTTTTATCTAAACTGTTTACATAGCTCATTAGTTTAATCCAGTGCAGGGATTCAGTAAATCTATTTATTTCAGTTTGAGATAAGCATTATTTCATTTAGTTGAAGATGTCAAGTACAAGAGTAATGTGCTGAAAAACCACCTCAAATTTTCATTGTTTTTACATCTTATTTCATCTTGTTTTACGACTGTAGACAGTCCATTGTAAACAAATGGTTCACGTGCAATGCCAACGATGACTGACGTGACCGCTGTTTCGCCAACTAGGTTTGTCCTTTTTGAGAAGAAACAGCTGCATCGTTCACAGACCACATTCAGTGTGCTTTTGCTTCTGTTTTATAGAACATTTAAACTCAGCTCTGTCCAGGACCAGCCAAGCCAACCATTGGGAATTAAAAAAACCAGTGCATGTTCTGCAGTCTCACATTCAACCCCATTTCCCTTCCAAACCTTCATCCACTTTGGCCAGACCACACATCCGTAAACGTTGATACTTCTGCTGGCTTGCTGATATTCTCCCTTACACTCAACCACTCAGTCATGACCTCAGATAGGGATCAAATTCAGCCTCGCTTGGCTGCTAACTGCCCTCAGTTGCATTTAGGGTTTACAACCAGGTTGAACTTGAGGCACCACTCAGCATTTATGAACAGTTATGATTGCATTTGCTCCCTGAACAGATTTAAAATGGTGATTTTTTTGGAAGGTCAACAGGAATGAGGTTGCTGATTGAGGTTATGTTGGCTTGACTGCCAGTAAAGTTGGTACATGGATGGCTGGTGGAGATTCTCAGTCATCCAAGACTTCATAATCCCAGCAAGTCTACTGTCCTCAAGATGTCTTCAAGAATAAACAAGTTTTAACTTGCTATGTTGAGGGGATTGTTTCAGCTGGAGGAAACAAAGAATACCAGCTGCTATGCTGCAGTGYGTGTATAGCTCCCTGTATGATGGGTAGAACTCAGGCTGATTCTTCAAGGACTGACAAATTCAGGTCTGTTGTGTTCAGAGTATGTGAACATCTAACGATGAGTTCAGTTACTCAACCCTCTTGTCACAATCCACTACTTCATCTGAGGTGTAAAATTACAAGGTACAGATACTTTGTTACTTAAGTAGAAATTTTGGTTATGTATACTTTACTGGATTCATTATTTTTCAGCCAACTTTTTTACTTTACTCCTTACATTTTTACGTAAATATCTGTACTTTCTACTTATATTTTAGCTAGTTTTCATTCTGGCTTGTTGTTCCTCAAAAAAATAAAAACTATCCAGATATATCGTGATCAGGGTTGATCAATATTGGCAAAAAAATTTATCACTATGCTATTGTGGGTCTAAACTCTCAGCTGATCACCTTAAAAGCCCAAAGCCTATTGGTCTTAAATTTCAGTGTTACTAGATGAGAAACAGAAAGATGGAGGGGTTGATGGGCCATGTGATGCAGAGAAAAGTGATAATGAGTTTTGCCTTACTCCCTCCACCTCCCTCGYCAAACTATTATGTTATAGCATGCTATTAGTACCATCTGCTGCTCTGATTGTGCCTCATCTACAGCKTATAGAGTAATGGGACGGCGCCTTCTCCTCTCCTCTGAATTGTTCCTGTGAATAAGCATGTGTTCTTCATCAACCCTCTCACATTGAATCCATTGTTTTCGTTTTCAGTTTTTCTTCCGTCATTTCCTGCGACTCTTAATCCCCTCGAAGTTGAGAGCTTTGAGGGGAAGTTGCCAGTGGAGGTGGGGGTCGTTCGCTGATCAGCTGATGGCTTAGCAGTACAGGAATTACAACTCTGGCTCATAATGGTTTGGCCGTTCCAGCTCGTCAGGGCGCATGATGGCATCACCGTGGCATTTGAAAGGAAAGGGGTCGTAAGCGCCAGCCACGACGACTGGCAGCACTCTGACATTTGCTGGCTCCAACCATTTCACCCCTCCAAACTGGCGAACGCAACCTCAAGAGTCAGTGAAGCATTCTTAATTAGAGTCTTTGTGAAATTAATATGGGGTCAGTGACATTTCTGTGGGAGATAAATGAGGAAAATGAACAAGATTGTTGTAACAAAAAAAAAAAAAAAGATTGCAAGTGTAACTGAAATGCCATTATAGTGAGCTGCATAGCTTGTGCGCAGCTGGAGGGAGCTCTGTTGGCCAGAAACAAATCCCACTGCTACGATTGTGTAGACCCCCCGCTGGAGCGACTCACACTGGGGAACATTCTTATTTTTCTCAGACATGGAACTGATTTGAAAGGTTTTTCTTATTTTAAGCCTATATCATACAGAAACTGAATATTTTTGGTCAGATGGAAGTTGCTCAAATGTGTATCTGCCAGAGTTTTATAGTACATTTACTTTGTTACACTGTTATAAACAAAGTTTATAACCTACTACTAATAACTAACTACTTTACTTTTATTTCATTACATTTTAAAGTTAAAACTGATACTTTTGCTTCTTTACTTTAAAATGTAACACCTAGTTACTCATTGCTAAATTAAAAATGTTGTAACTCATCATAAAAGATGTTTCTGCACTCWAAAGAATGAAGTCATGTCAACTGGCTCCACTAAGCCTGGTTGAGTAAACTGAGCAAAGAATATACATATTTTTGCTCAATTTACTCAACCTGACTTAGTGGAACCAGTTTGGTTCTGTAAATTCAACAGTTTTTTTCTTAGAGAGTGTGTAAAAGAACTTTCACTTAAGTAGTTTTCTCATCAGTGAATTTTATTTTTATCAAAGTAATTTTCTGTTTATGGAATTTTACTTTTACTAATTTTTTCAAGTATTTTATAAACCTCTGGTGTCTGCGTGTGTTCTGGTTGTTGTCGTTTTGGAATGACGACAGCTCGTACAGCCATACACTGTTAACACTGGAAGCAGGAAGTGCACTTTGGTGCCTTTGTTCTTTTAGACTTCCCTTGTGTAGTGAAATAAAAGTATTTCAAGCTCATTCCAAAGTTAGACAATTTATTTATGGTTTTATTAGCAGGATACATAAATGATTCTCAAGTGAAAGTGTGGTAAAATTATAAATACATTTCGATTCTTACGGTTCTGACTTCATGACTTATGTGGGATTAGGGAGAGAAAAGAGCTTTGGTCAGTAGGTTTTCATAAGGACATAAATGCAGTGATGTATGTGTGCCACACAGTGTGTTATGAAATGTGTGTGTGCTTTGATGTGTTTATGCAAGCTGCTTGTTAGTACAATGTCAGACACGTCCATCAGTGGCATCCTTCTCTGTTCAGCAGGCGAGCCCCA